TCATAGACAACCAAACGTGATTTAAAATTATTTCATAAAATTAAACATGTAACAATTAAATAGTAAATGCACTTATGTTTATAAACTATGAATTATTAAAAATAGAAATTAATATGGCTTTTAGTGGATGGAACTTTTGTAATTGTACTGTACCTATATATACTATGACAAGAAGGTTCCCCTTGGGTCTCTACATGAGGTGCAAATGGACTTAGTGGGGTCCCTCCTATTATTTAAAAGGTCAATCTGCTGTTTTCAGCCTTCACCTAAGATACTCTGAGACTTGCTGGGATTTATGTGAACACAATAATATAAAATGAGAAATTATTAAGTAGATACTGTTATTTACTTATATTGAGCTTTTTCCTCTCCAGGATTAAATATTCATGATAATTTCTGTAATGTAAAATAAAATCTGAGTCATGTAAATTTCATATAGGGTCAGTCAGTCCGCCATATTTATTGGGCATCTGTTACATTCATAAGAGCCCCTCACCAAAGACAATAAAAAGTAAAAATTCAATTGTGTAAACGATATATCAAATGTAAAGATAGACTATGTTAAATGATAAAAATGTTTTCAACAACAAAAGAAAATGTTTTCAACATACTATAGGAAGAAAGCAGAAATGATTACATGAATTTGAAGGATACCTAGTTTTAAAATAGGTACAAATTTAAACCAAGAAGCACTATGTTAATTCTGAAAGAAATCATATCCTAAAGTAGCCATTTAAATTTCCCAATAAATTTTTAACAATACTTGTGAGAAATAACAAATATTCTAGAGAGTAAAATCAAAAATCCATTTTCAAATAGCCAATAAACATATAGGAATGGGATAAACCAGACACAGAAGCTGGTCTAATATGGAAAACAACCCTGACAGTGCTAAGTGCTGGCCAACTGTGCACAGTGACCAGTACACTCTCACTCGCTGACGAGAGTGAACCTGTCCCTGTCCCAGCGCCCTGAAAGACTCCATGGCAGTCATAGGTGGTCAATCACATGCTACAGTACTGACTTTCCTCTGAGATACACAGCTGACAGAAATCCACAGATTTGTGTGTCAAAAGACATGCACAATAGCGTCAGTAGTAACCTTTTTACAACATCCTGAATTAGAATAAAGTAAAATGGTCATCCTAAGTAGAGCAGATCAAAGATAGTCTAATCATACTTTTTTTTTTTTTTTTTTAGTCTAATCATACTTTGAAGTACTTTCCAGCAATGGGAACGAAGGGTCATCAGCCACTCAGAAAAGATGAGTGATCTTGAGATCCTAATCATGAGTAATAGTGATCAGATGCACAATGAGACACACATTTTGATTTCTATTTACATTACATTAAAAATTAAAGTGTGGTGTTACAAATCAGCATGCAGCATGTAGGTTTCCATTTGGCTGCAGAGGAGGCTTTTGCAGAAGAAACTGTGAAAGACGTATCTGAGTGCTGGTCGTGTCCTCTATCTTGGCCTGATTAGTAGTGACAAGGGAACGTTCACTCATGATAGTTCGTGGAGTGATAAATGTGTGGCTTGTATGCATTTGTGCATGTATGATAGGGAAATAAAAATATCTTCATATCAACAACACCAGTAGTGGCAACAACAAAGCCTATACACCACAAAGATAATGATGAGAATTTCCTTTTTTCAAATAAATATATTTTAAATTACTTCTTTCATTCTGTGGCATGTATTTTCAAGCTTTTGATGTACCTTAACTTCAGGGTTATTTATAAAAAATCTCCTTAATGTTTAATATTGTTGATGTATCTTGTTCAAGAAATGTTGATGTACCCCAAAGTTATAACATGGGCAGCTTCATTTTTATCTTTAAAACTTAAATCGGGGCCGGGGATTTGGCTCAGTGGTTTCGCTGCCTGCTGCACAAGCGCAAGGACTGGAGTTCGATCCCTGGTACCAAAAAACCCCAAAAAAACCAAAAAACAAAAAACCTTAAATCTGTAATTGACCTGTAACTTAAATCTATAATTGACCTGTAAAATACATATATATGCTAAGAAATAGAAATCACATTTGTTTCTTTATGTAGATATCATGCTCCACAGTATCATCCACAAAAGAGATACTCCTTACATAAGGCAGTACATGGCACTTTTGTTATGTGCCAGGAGTCTCTCTTAAGTGTGCAAACATGGATCTCACCTCCTGGTTCTGTTCTTTTAATATATTTTTAATCTTTATGCCATACCATACTATTTTCTTTATTGAAGTTTTATAATAATATTTCATAGCTACTAGTGAGAATCCTTTACATTTGTTCTTTTTCAATATCATATTAGCAATCCTTGTCCTGTTGTGTCTTTCCTTTAAGTTTTAAATTCAGCTTGTCACATACAGTATTCTCCCTGACTTATCAAAATGGTGCCTTGGGTAGGGTGAGTTTATATGAGTTTGTATGTAGGAGTTGTAGAAAAATTAGTTTGATTTCATCCCAGGCAAAAGAAATAAAATGATTTTATTTTATCTAGGATTTAAGAAAAATAATATAACTTATATAGAAGTCTTCATAGTACAATGTTTGTTTGTTGTTTATAACTATGGGAATATAATTTGGGGTGACAATGTTTCCATCAAAGGTAGCCAATATGAGTTACATTATTCTAGCTTACATTTGGATCCAATAACATTTTAGTCAGGGGATATGGAATGCGAAGATAAGCTTCAGTTATGCAAGTACAATTTATTTGTGTGATTAACTTTTAAAAATTTTATTAACATTGTTTCATTTCTCTGAGGGCCCTTGCTCCTCTCTTGAGTGCATCCTAAAACCTCTGCCTAATAAACCCTTCCTGTGACTCTTAAAAAAAAAATGTCATTAAGAAGCCCATCATAGAAGACATTTGCAACTGAAGAATCATCCTTATGGTAGATCATATTGCAGTTACATTTCAGGCAGTTGTTCTCATCTACCTTGGAGAGCATAAGACTTCCTTAGGAGGTTTGTTTGAAAATTCAGATTCGCAGGGCTCGCCTCAGTTGATCTGGGCTGGGTCCTGGAGTCCTCACTTTCATAAATGTTACTGTAGGTGGCTCAGAGTCAGCCCAGGGACAGCTACTCCAGGAGATGAGAACTCCCGGGGGAAAGTGCCATTCAGTGTCATCTGAGGCAAGAGGGTAGCTTTCACCTGAGGTTCAGGATAAGGAGTCAACAGCTGGGCCAGGGATTTAGCTCAGTGTTTCACCACCTGCTGCGTAAGCACAAGGACCTGAAGTAGATCCCCAGTACCAAAAAATAAAAACTAAAAAAGTCAACTGTTGGGTCAAGGGTTTACTATGTTCAGAGAGATAAGGATGCCTTTAATCCAGAGGATTGTCTCTGTTCCTAAAAGCTACTTTACAAAATTGTCATTCCTTCCCCAAGGGGGAAAAAGGATTGTAGCAAGCATCCTATTTTCTAGCAGATGTAATTAGGATTTTTTAAAAAGCAATTTTGATTACTGTTTTTCTTCTAAAAAGCCACATGCAGCATTGTGACTTGAATCTCTAAATCTTAAAAACATAGAAAACCTTAAACCACAAATATAATGAACAAAAGGAAAGATGGAACAGTAACTTGGATAATTAGTAACCTAAGTACCCCATAATAAGAACTTTTAAAGACAAATCTAGAGGTGAAAAGGTTGTGGAAGAAATTTTTCTTTGGGAAGGAATTCCATGTGTCAGACTGAATAGTGCTTCACCAACCAAGGGAAGGTTGCCCTGATTCCCAGAGCTTCCTAGTTCAGCTGAATAAAGTCTGTCATGGCTGTAACCCTTCAAGGAGTTAAATCTTGAACAAATACAAATTTTCCTGAGTTTTCTTTCATTTCTCTTTTCTTAAAAAAAAAGATTTGTTAAAAGTACTTTCTGCTAGACCCTTGCTTTTGAATGGCTTTAAAATTTAATAGTTTTTAAAAGTTCATCAGGATGAGATTATGCTAGTAGAATATTAAAAGCATATTTCTGTTAAGCTTCTGGTTTTAAGACCATTTAATGGAACAAAGATCACAACATGATGTTAAAAAGAAAAACTTGTCAAGCTTCCCCAAAAGAAATCTGATACAATACTTTGGGAATATGTTGAATCTGTATATAAATGTGAGAGAAAATTGATAGCTTGATAATACTTATTCTTCTATTCCATAAATACAATTTATCCCTCTATTTATTAACACTATTTGTAGTATGTGTGACAGTTTATATTATAGAAGTTTTATGCATCTCATTAATCTTTCTTAGATATTGAATATATTTATATTACTGTAAATAGTATCACCTTTTAAAATTGGATATTCTATTGGTATAGTTGTATATTATGTATTTGTGTTAGGTTTCCAGTACTATAACAAATATCTGAGCTTAATCAACTTGTAAAGACAGAAGGTTTTTTTGGCTTACAGTTTCACAGGGTCCAGTCCATGATCTAGTTCCCCACTGCTTTTGTCCTAGAACATGACATTACTTTGTGGTGTCTCATGCATGATGGGGCAAAACTACTCACCTAATGACCATAAAGTGAAAGAGAAAAAGGAGAAGGAACCAGAGACTCATGATCTTCTCTGAGAGTATATTTCCAATGACCCAAAGGCCACCACCAGGCCTCAACTCCTAAAGAAACCACCAACTTCCAATAGTACCAACATGCAAAGCATGCATTTAACACATGAGGTTTAACAGCATACTGTAAGACATGCACTACAGCCTTATCACTTTATGCTTAGAAAATCTGATGAATTTATTTATTAAAATTGATGGTTTAACTAGACATTTCTTTATACCTGTCTCACCAACTATGACTTCAGTAGATAACAATAAGTTTTATCCTTTATAAACTTCATGCCTTTTATTTTCTTTTACTTTGCGTGTGCTCCGCCACAAGGCTGAATAGAAGTGACATAGGTAGTATTGTGCATATGTTGCTAATCTTAAAGGGAAACACTATTTAATATATTTACTAAAATATATGTAGATATTTATTTTTGAAAACTTACCTGTCAATTTTGTCACGATAATTTGAAGGTGATGTATTTCTTCTTCTGATGTCAAGATTTTTTTTCTTTTATCATCGCTTTTTGAGAGTTTTAAAATATAACAGACTGTGATTTTCTCTTAGATTTATTCTGTTTGAGATTTCTAGAGCTTCTTAAATCTGTAGGTAAATAGCTTTAATTAGTTCTGAAAAATTCTTGGCTAATATTTCTTCCTGGCTAGAAAATTTTTGAAAATTGCCTTTCCTCATTCTGTATCTCTACACACACTGAGAGTCTAATTACATGTATATTGCATTTCACTCTGTTATTCATACTCATTTCTGTATTTTCAAAGTTTTTCTCTATTCTTTGCTGGAATATTTTTTATTAGTTCAAGTACTCCTATCAGATGACTCTTTCTAATCTATTAAATCCATTTGTTCTATTTCCAGTTACAGTATTCTTTAAGTTCTAACATCTAATTTCTTGAATTTATTAATCCAATGGTTTTAAATTAAGGATTTCTTATTGTCCTCTACAGACTTTGGGTTTTGTGATATTTCTTTCTGATATTATAGATATTTTTACTGATTGAGCAATATTTTATATGAAAACTTATAGGAATTATGATGCTATAAATAATGTTATCTTCAAAAAAAAATAATGTTATCTTCTTTCATACAGAATTTTCTTAGACTTTGGTAGATGGTTAGTATCAGACACAAAACTTCTATCTAGCCAGTCAATGTAAGTATTTGAACCTGGACTTCATTCCTTAGGAGAGCCTGTCTGTGTCAGGTTCACCCCTACTGAAGTTCACCTCTCAGAGTTGCAGCTGAAGGCCAAGGTTATTAACCCACCCAGCAGGCCTTGAATACTAATTATTGTTCCCTTCCAGTTGACAGCTGAAGTTCCTATTCAACATCTAATAATCTCAGCTTCTGCTCTCTGCTTTTCTTCTATGCCCTTAGCTGGAAGGGCAAGCTATACTTGCAAATTTCCCAGACCCTTGTGAATAAAAGAGTTACTGAAGGCCAGAACATCTCTCCACTTGCATTTCCTCCAAGATACTGGCCCTTCAAGCCCTTGTTGCTTTAGCCTTAAAAGAGATGAGTAACACTTCTGATTGTTTTAAGTGGGAGGTTTGTAGCAAGCTTACCTACCTTCTCCACAAATATAAATTATATTGTAATAGTGAAACAAACATATGCTTTAGTACCATGGTACTTCAGAATATAGTTACTAATTCTTACATATTTCCCAACGAGTCATACGTGGTTGAAATTGCATAGATTTCTGGGAATAACTGGTCCTTCTCTTATTCTCCTATCTCTGGTTAGAATCAGCCATTCAACTCATTTTGATCACTATTTCTATCCTGATGAATCTCAAATAATTACCTGTAAATGAAGTATATCTCCTGAAATATTGACTCATAAATTCAGATGGCACTTAGATATTGACACTAGACAATTGACACGTGTTTTATGTGGCCATATACAGCTGAATTCCTCATCCTTTATCCCTGCTGCCAAACAGAGCTGTCTCACTCTCTTTCAGGGAATCTCTGCCTCTAACCTGCAGTCAGGCACTGTAGCTGGTGATCACCCTCCACTCTTCTCCTTCCCTCTTGCTCTTATCTCATCCTTCACCTCATATTTTAAACTTGTTATTTTTAAAATTCATTATTTTTTTCTCATTTTTTGATCACTGCTTTACTTATTTGGAACTAAAAATTGGTGTTGAAATTGATCTTTTCTCGTTTGGTATAAAGGGATATATGATTTCTATATATTCCCTTGAATGGTTTTTGAAAAATAGAAACAAGTAATTGTCATTTTCTCACTTAAAATCTTTCAGTACTATTCACAGTCTGCAGGACCGTGTCAAAACAGAACTTTTTATTTAGGAATTATGGTACAGAAAGAAAGAGCCAAGAACTAAAGTTATGACTCTTGGTTTTCACTGTGGGTTCATCTCCTAGTGATGAAAGCTGGAGCAATGAGAGTTGATAGTGACAATTTAGTAAAGAGTGTGGAAAGAGAAGACAAGACCATTGAAGATATATATGTGGTAGCAAAGGAGACCCAGATTATGGACTGCTCCAGGCAGTGAATGGGCAGAAGTCACAGTCAGGGGAATGCTCAGCTGCCTGTGTGTAAACTAGCACAGAGGGGTCTGAGATGAAAGCTGAACATAAGGACCAGAAGGACTTGGAGAATGGAGTAGAAACCCAGGTGTCATTCTGAGAGGCTGCCCTAGGCACAAGGCCTTGAAGCGATTTACCTGCACAGTAAAAAGCATGGGTAATCAAGCTGACATTTCCTGGAAAACAAGGTCTTTGATGTCCAATGATTCGAGCTGCAGATGCTCAGATCCTGACACCTCTCATCCTGGTAAACTTCTCCTCGGACAGACACTGGTGTGGGACAGTGCTGGTGTGTTCCCTGCGTGGAAGGCTCGGTACTCCTCCTGGCGAAGAATCATGTCACTCACAGACAGTTGACAAGCCGATTTTCCCACTTCTTTCACTATATTTTTTTCTCTCTGGAAAATTTGTTTTTGGACTTAATTCTTGCGGATCATTGTAGCCCTTCAGATTCAGTTGTATAACATTCCCCTATGCATGTCCTCCCTGCACATGGTGTGTGTGAATACACAGTCTTTTTAAATCTTTCTCCACATTATTAGTTGTGGTACCCTAACAGTGCCTCACTGGCATCAACACCACAGTGAGCCCATTAGTCACTGAGAATTCCTGCCCTTATTCACAAAATGACCAAGGACCCACCAGAAGAAATTAGTCACACTATAACCCGTAATATTTTCTTGAGCAAATAACAGCAGAAACTCATTTTAAACATATTGCTGCTGTGCATATAGAGTACCTTCTGTGAATTTTAGATGGTCTTTGGGTGGCATAGTTTGCAACACATGTGCAGTTTTCACAGTGCTCCTCCTTTCCACCATTCAGAAAAGGAAGTGGCATGTCTGTGAGCCATTTGTTTGAGACAGAGAGGTTTATAGACAACTTTTCCAAGGGATGGAGTGGAGAATGGGAGACTGGAGCAGAATTGTGGGTCAGGAAGGGAAGGGGGTGTAACAAATGGTAGAAAAATACCAGCTCCATAATGGTGGGGTAGATGGAAGATGAAATGTAGGAAAATGCCTTGGCAGTGTGCAAGATCTTTGCTTTACCACTTCAGGAATGTACTGATGGTCAATTTCCCCCCTCTTTGCTTCTACTTCCTGTCATAATAACTGGATTTTTTTCATTCCATAAATGTGTTTCAAAGTAGACTCTCTGAAGGAGTTGACCATACACTATCTTCCATATGTATTCAGTTGCTTTTTTTTTTCCCCCTTTGTGCTTTCAAATAGCTGTGGGCCAGCTTATCCATCCTTTAGCATTCTGTGTGATTTAGAAAATCCAACTTAAAACAAATATATTCATCTTTATATTATAAGGAGCATTGTCATTTATGTAACGTTTAAAACATCTCTGACTTGACAGGTAGCCAGTACCAAAGGCTTTCACTGACGCTTTGTGGCCAAGGGTGGAACTACAGTAGTTTTTGGACAAGCTTCCTGAAAATTATTCTTCTGTATGTGTATGATATAACAAATAACAATCAGGTAACTGTTATCTTACATATCTGTATACAGATCTACATACCAGTAAATATGTATATTAAATAAACAACCAAAAAATTGCAAAATATTTCATTAGTAATATCTAAACTGACATATCACTACATACTACAAGCTATAATTGTTTCATAAATGAGTAAAATTTTCTGTTAAAATTGCAGAGTTTCTATCTTTCTTACTACCACAACATATTAGAATGGTAGTATTTTTTAAAACTTGTGGTTTCTTTTACAATTTTACTGGTGAAAAATAATATATATTTGCAAAATTACACATTAGGATTATCCCTAGGGATTTCGATTTGGTGTGTAAGAGTTTTGAAGACTTTAATTCCAGAAAGAATGGATATTTTCAAAAGAATTAAAGACAGAGCAAGTAAGGATGTGGAGCAGGGGAGCCCTTGCACTGTGTTGGAGGGAATGTAAGTTAGTACAGCCCCATGAAAAACCTTATGGAAATTCCTCAAAAAATCAAATACAGAACTATCTTCTGATCTACATATTATTCCACTTCTGGATATATACCCAAAGAAAATTAAATCAGCATTTAAATAGGACATCTGCAGGACTGGGGATCCAGCTCAGAAGGGCAGCACCTGCCTAGCAAGCATGAGGTCCTGTGTTCAATTCCTGGTACCGGAAAAACAGAAATTGGCAAACAAAGAGACAGCTGCATTCCCATGTTCATTGCAGCACTGTGATCACTGGTCATGAAATGGAAACAACCAGAATGTCCACTGACTAATGAGAGAATAATAGCATTCCATAAGCACAAAGGAATACTATTCAGCCATAAAAAGAATGAAATCCTGTTATTTGCAATGACATGGCTGAAACTTGAGGTCATTATGTTAAGTGAAAAAACCCAGGCACAGAAAGACAAACCGAATGAGCTCACTCATGTGAAATCTAAAATTTTTATCTCATAGATGTTGAGAGAATGGTTCTTATGAAGGGCTGGGAGAGCAGAGGGGAGGAGAGGATGGTGAACAGGTGATCAGTGGTTTCTAAGTTGCAATTAGATAGGAGAAAGAAGTTCTATTAAACAGTTACACAGTAAGGTGACTGACTATAGACATCAATAAGATGCTGTCTATTTCAGAAAGCTAGAAGGAAGGATTTAGAAAGTTTTCCCTAAAAGATGAGATAAATGTTGAGAAGATAGATATCTTTAACCTGATCTTAACATTAGAAAACGCACACATGCATTATAAAATCATATTACTCCACAAATATATGCAATCTTGACATATTAATGCGTCAGTTAAAAAATAACTTTAATTAGAGAAAGAAAATTGATGTGACCAAAAAGGATTTTAAGGAAAATTATTATTGGTTAAAAAAGTTTTGTTTTCCACTGTGGTGTCCCTTCTCATGGAAAGTAATTTTTTAAACTGTGGTAAAATATGTAGAACTTAAAATTTATCATCTTAACCACTTTTAAATGTGTAATGGAGTAACATACTCACACTGTTGGGCAAGCAATGGTACTACCTATCTCCCTAAAACCGTTTCTGTTTTCCCAAACTGAAACTCTTTGTCCACTAAATAATACCATTCACTTTCCCTTTGTCCTGCTCCCCAGCAACATCCGTTCTGCTTGGACTTTGGAGCTGGGACTGCTCTGAGCTCCGCATATAAATGGTGTCTGCCTTCTTTGGGGCCATCAAGAAGTCTATGCTCTTTGCTCATGTTAAAGCAGTAAATGAACTTGAAAATCTTCAAAACGAAATTAACACATTTTTCAAAGATCTTTTAAGGATCGGAGTAGTACATTACTTATTATATATAATTAGTACATATGCTAATTATATATACTATATGTTTAATAAGGGCTATAATCTTACCCATTCAGTTGACTTGTTCTTAAATAAGACCCCCAGTAGATTAATTGTATTTCACTTTAGTTTTAATTTTCTAAGCACAATTATAATCTGAGAAAGTGACTTTGTCCATATTGAAACAAAATCTACTTTATTATGAGTACAGCTTTTAATAGAAAAGAAAAATCAACATTTAGAAAACCTTATCAAAAAAAGGACAAAAAGGCCCAAATCCATGCAATTAGGAATGAAGAGGAAGAAATTACAACGGACCCAGCAGAAATCCAGAAGATCATCAATACCTACTTCCAGAAACTATATGCCAATAAGATGGAAAACACAGAAGAAATGGACAGATTCCTAGATACATCTGAATTACCAAAGTTGAATGAAGAAGACCTAAAAATTCTAAACGACCCAATATCAATCAATGAAATTGAAAACGTAATTAAAAACGTACCAACTAAGAAAAGCCCAGGTCCTGATGTCTTCACTGCTAAATTCTATAAGACATTTAGAGAGGAACTACTGCCACTACTGTTTAAACTCTTCAATGAAATTGAAAGAGAAACAATACTCCAAAATTCATTCCTGGAAGCAAACATCACCTTGATTCCCAAAGCAGAGAAAGACCCAACCAAAAAAGAGAACTATAGGCAAATCTCACTAATGAACATAGATGCAAAAATCCTTAATAAGATACTGGCAAATAGAATGCAGAAGATCATCAAGATCATACACCCTGACCAAGTGGGATTCATACCAGGGATGCAGGGGTGGTTCAACATACACAAATCAATAAATTTAATATGCTATATCAATAGAGACAAGGACAAAAACCATATGATCATCTCAACAGATGCAGAAAAAGCATTTGACAAAATCCAACACGCATTTATAATTAAAAATCCTACAAAAAATTGGAACAGATGGTCTCTACCTCAAACTGATAAAAGCCATCTATGAAAACCCAACAGCCAATAACATCCTAAATGGTCAAAAACTGAAATCCTTCACACTAAAATCAGGAACAAGACAAGGATGTCCACTATCACCACTCTTGTTCAATATAGTTCTGGAAACATTAGCCATGCCAATTAGACAAGAGAAAGAAATAAAAGGAATAAAGATAGGAAATGAAGAAGTCAAATTGTCATTATTTGTAGATGACATAATTCTTTATATAGAAGATGCCAAAAACTCCATCAAAAGTCTCCTAGACTTAATATCCAAATTCAGCAGAGTAGCTGGATACAAGGTCAACACACAAAAATCAATAGCTTTCCTTTACATGAACAATAAACTCACTGAGAGAGAAATAGGGCAAACAATTCCTTTCACAATAGCATCAAAAAAACTGAAATACCTAGGAATCAATCTAATGAAAGAAATCAAAGACCTCTTCTCTGAAAACTACAGAACTTTGAAAAGAGAGATTGAAGATGATATCAGAAAATGGAAAGACATCCCCTGCTCCTGGGTAGGAAGGATCAATGTAGTGAAAATGGCCATATTTCCAAAACTGCTATATAGATTCAATGCAATCCCAACTGAAATCCCAGCAGCATACTTCACAGACCTTGAGAAAACAATCCAAAAATTCATTTGGAACAAGAAGAGACCCAGAATAGCAAAAGCAATTCTACATAACAGAGACATGGCAGGGAGTATCACAATCCCCAACATGAAACTATACTACAAAGCTACTGTGAAAAAAACAGCATGGTACTGGCAAAGAAACAGAGCTGAGGACCAATGTAATAGATCAGAAGATGCTGAAACAACTCTAGCCACACTCAGTCATCTCATCTACAACAAAGAAGCCAAACACCCTCACTGGAGGAAAGATAGCCTCTTTAGTAAATGATGCTGGAAAGCTTGAGTTTCAACTTCCCAAAGACCTATATCTCTCACCATGCACTAAACTAAAAACAAAATGAATTAAGTATCTAAATATTAAAATAGAAATGCTGAATCACCTGGAACAGAGGTTAGTTAGAAGTCTTGAAGACATTGGTGTAGGCAAAGATTTTATGAACAAAACCTCAGTTGCCTGTGAACTAGAACAAACAAT